TCGTGGCCGTGATTAGACACGAAAGGAATGTAAATCTAACGTGAAATTCGTCAATATATAAGTAGGAAGCATGTACACACACACACACACACACACATATAGACACACAAACACACACACACACATACATAGACACACACACACAAACACACACACACACACACACACACACACACACACACACACACACACACACACACATACACACACACACACGCACACACACGCGCACAAACAGACATACGCACATATGTCAGATACCCTAAAATTCCTTTTCGATTGATAAATGAAATTACTAATGAGATCAAGGATCAAAGATACGACCAAACATTGTATTTCAGTTCCTCAATACATGAATACACAGTTATCAAATTTTATATATACACTTTATATCTTTTATGTTTATCTCATTATGTTATGCCAATGCCAATTATGTAATAACTATCACAACTACCTGAATAAAGCGTTTGTAAATTGAACTTATAATTGCTCAGTGAAGGTAACATGAGTATTTGGTTAAATCGGAGCGTGACTGGCCGAAGCGCAGATGAGCTTGCGGCTCAAGAGGAAAGAAAGCTTAATGGAGCGGAGAAAGGAGGGAATTAGTGACTGGGCTGTTAAATGCAGTCTATGAAAACACACATAAATATATGTATACATATGTATATATATACATATATATATATATATATATATATATATATATATACATATATGTATATATATGTATATATATATATATATATATATATATATATATATATATATATATATATATATACATATATGTATATATATATATATATATATATATATATATATATATATATATATATATATATATATATATATATATTTATATATATATCACACACACATATCTATCTATCTATCTGTCTATCTATCTATCTATCTATTTATCTATATATATCACACACACACACACACACATCTCTCTCTCTCTCTCTCTCTCTCTCTCTCTCTCCCTCTCTCTCTCTCTCTCTCTCTCTCCCTCTCTCTCTCTCTCTCTCTCTCTCTCTCTCTCTCTCTCTCTCTCTCTCCCCCCCTCTCTCTCTCTCTCTCTCTCTCTCTCTCCCTCTCTCTCTCTCTCTCTCTCTCTCTCTCTCTCTCTCTCTCTCTCTCTCTCTCTCTCTCTCTATATATATATATATATATATATATATATATATATATATATACGTATGTATATATATATACATATATATATGCGTATATATATGTATATGTATAGACATATACATATACATACGCATATTTATATATATATATATATATATATATATATATATATATATATATATATATATATATATATGTATGTATATTTATACATATATATATATGTATATGTAAATGTATATATGTACACACACACACACACACACACACACACACACACACACACACACACACACACACACACATATATATATATATATATATACATATATATATATATATATATGTATATATATATATATATATATATATATATATATATATATATATATATATATATATATATATATGTATACATATATACATATATATATGTATATGTAAATGTGCATATGTATACACACACACACACACACACACACACACACACACACACACACACACACACATATATATATATATATATATATATATATATATATATATATATATATATATATGTATATATATATATATATATATATATATATATATATATATATATATATATATATATATATGTAAACATATATACATATGTATATGTATGTATATACATAAATTTATATATATGTAAATATATAAATTTATACATATATGTATATATAAATCTATAAATCTATATATGTGTATGTATATATGTATATATATGTATATATACATACATGTATATATATATATATATATATATATATATATATATATATATATATATATATATATATATATATATATGTATATATATATATATATATATATATATATATATATATATATATATATATATATATATATATATATATATACTTTATATCATATGTATGTAGATACATAAAGTAACTATACATAAAAAAAATCAAGATCAAGAAGAAGGTGAAAGAGAGTGATAAAATAAAAAGAAGATAAGAAAAGGAAAAAGAGGAAAGGAAGAAGAAAAAGAAAAAGAAGAAGAGGAAGAGGAATAATAACAGTAATTATGATAAATGTAATAATTGCATAAAAAGAAGAAAAAAAAAGAAGAAGAGAAATGAAAGGTAAAAGAAAGAATCAAGCAGAAGAAGAGAAGATAAAGGAAAGGATGAAAAAGATGATGAAGAAGGAAACGAAAATAATAAGAGGAAGAAGAATAAGAAGAAAGAGAACAAGTAGAAGAAAAAGACGAAGAAGAGGGAGAAGAAGAAGAAAAAAACAAAGAAAAATAATGAAGAGGAGGAGAATAAGAATAAGAAAAATGAGAAGAATAACAATAAGAAGAATAAAA